TCCTCTTCCCCACACTCTCCCTTGTTACCCACACAGCGCCCTTCACCTCCGAAGTACCACCTTCGCCCTTCACCCCTTTGCGCCCTCTGCAGCCCGGCTATGGCCGCCAAGCGCCCAGTGCACAGGCAGCGCCCTTCCGCCTTGCGCATGCCTACCTTGCACTACCTCTTAGCGCAGCGCAGCAGCCAGCAGCTTGCATTTGCGCAGCGTGCCGGCATTGCCCGCAATGGCCAAGATCCTTGCTGCCTCGCCCTGCTTGCCTATATGCCAGTGCAGCGTGTGGGCGGCCTCCCTTCAGCCTGTGACTGGGGCCCAGAGGCTGAAGCCAACTCGATACAGTTGGGCCCCGGGGCAATGCAGTTGCGCCTCCTTCATCAAGGCCTGCGGCCAGATTCAGACAGTGGGCCGATTTCCCTTCGGCATTTTCGGCCTCTCTACCCAGCATGCATTGTCGGCCTCACGTTCGAGTGCCCAAGGCCTAACTAACTCAGAGGCCCTGGGCATTTCAGCATTTGCTGAAATCCGAGACTCGGTGCACCGCAACCAACTGGCGTGCTGCAACTGTATAGACCCCACTTCGTGAAATGTTGGCACAGAGGGCTCTTGTTGATTTGCTGGCCCGCCTTCACTTAGGGCGGGCACTAGGCTTGCTGGGGCCTTAGCCCAGAACATGTACATCACGGCAAGGCCCCTACTCGAGGGCTCAATCCTCACAAAAATAATAAAATAATAAAATAATAAAATAATAAAGCTTAATAACAAATTAGAAATTAAAAATTAAAATAAATAAATAATAATAAAATAGTTTTTTAAAAATAATACTAAAATAATAAAATAATAAAATAATAATAAATTAATAAATTAATAACATAATAAAATATGAAAATATGGCAAACTTTCTTTCAAGAAAAACTAAGGGACATAAATAATAATAAAAAAAACGAACACATGTATAAACACGAAAATGAAGAGAAGGAAACAAATACGCCAGCAAAAAATGAAACGGCAAAGCAACACCCCGCAAAGAAAGACACACAAAAAAACAAAAACTCGTGAAGCGTCCCCGTGAAGATTGGCAGCTGAAAACCAGGACCAAAAAACTCGACAAAAGAAATACGTCACTTTCTTTAAACAACTAACTAGACTGCAACCCATCCAAAATACTGACCACCACCGAGCTCTGAAGTTGATCGGCGCGAAAGAAGAAGACAATAACATTACGCGGGAACTACAAAGCAAAACAAATATGCCACTACCACTAAAGTTCAAAACTATACTCACCCCAACTACGGCCAGACCCCGTAAATTGTACTACAACCGATCACACATAAGCATAACCCGTACACCTACAGAGACCCCTAAAACCTACCAAATACGTCCCGTTTTACCAAACCAGAACGAATATGACCTTTCGCCGACCTAATTTTTTAATTAAAATAATAATTAAAAAAAAATATCGATTAAGCTATCCTATACACACGAACGCCACCATACCCATTACAAACCTCACATAACAAGATATAATGAAGCCTGCCTGCATTACTATCTACAGCAACATGCCTATGATTACACCGGCGCTACGGAGCATTCCGACTCGTACTTTCTACGCATGCGAAGAACTTCCTCATCCCACGATCTTCTCCCAACTGCCTCTCCTCATCCCCCTCATACTACGCAACCAGGCGAGCTAACCGTCTGTCTGCAGCGGGCAAGGCACCTTCTTGGGCCGGCCAATCTGTGCTTCGACCAACGGAGCTCCTGATCCATCGCGACGCCGAAGCTCGACAGCTATGGCAGCTACGGCAGCGACTGACTATGCTGCTTCTCCAGACATGACACCTCAGGTACGGATCCTCTGTACCTTTACCCCTAATCGCCCATGTTGTGTATTCCCACGACCCCCTGACTATAACTCCCTACCACCCTTTGTGCTAATTGGAGCCTTGCTAACGACTAATCCCTCTGATGAGCTGCTATGGGTGCTAAGCGGCGAAAAGCGCGCTTCAGGGCGTGCACCCCCCCTTCGGCTGGGCTTTGCCCTTTCCTAATTGCTAACACACTAACATTAACATCTTAATCATTGTTCCTTCAATAACCTAAGACCCCTACCTTCACACCCTGTCTACCTTTGCAACATACTTCCTCCATAGCGAAATT